AGGTGCTAAAACAATATGGATGGGCTTGACCGCTCAAAAAGATCAGTTCACCAACAGGTGGACGTGGACATGGGTGGATGGAAGCTCAGCGTTTTGTAGGTAAGGCTTTCTGAATGTTTATGAATTAAATGATGATCCTGATTAACAGCAATGTACTGTTTCAGAACACTGAACTGAACTTACAATGTGAAGCAAGTCCTATTTACACATTAATGTTTGAACAACTGAAACAACTGTTGTACTGAACGATGTCTACAATGAAACATTGGGATGGACGATGTGCAGCAGTCGTCTTATGTGCATGTGTCCTTGCACAGACTTCGCTCTGGGAAAAAAATTGGTAGACTATTAAGTTACACGGACCAGGTAAAGCAACAGTGAACACACAGAGTGCAGATGTTGTTTTCAGTTGTTTGATTGGATAAGTCATTAATAGCCTAAGCCAACGTGAGGCTCACCTGCTGCCATGATAAGGGATCACGAGTTCTCAGTCTTTTAGGCGACTTTATAAAACATGCTGCTGATAGAGAAAATGGAGCAGACAGGGGAGAGAGACAGAAAGAGGCGGGGCAAGCCGGGGTGTTTACCTGAGGTGAGTGTGGGGAGAAGAGAATTCCGAGGCAGGTGCCAAGCATACTTAAAAACAATAGTTCATGGTCATTAAAAGCTGCTTTCACAGGGTGGTAGAATGTGAAAATTTGAGATAATTTTTTGCTGGGGGGGCAGGGGTTTTTCAATCATGATGCCGGCTCAACGCTGTGATGTCTGTCAGCCATCGCTGATGGACGATGGCATCTTCTATCAGCCCAACCCTACTGGAGCCTATTCAATCATGCATTGAGCGAAAGGCAGGGTACACCCTGCACAGGTCACCAGTCTATCACAGAGCTAACACATACAAGCGCAGCCATCTCAGAACTGTATTGCAATGTTCCACCCTCAACAAACCCACCAAAACAGTGTTCTGTGTTGTTTTGTAGTAACTGGAATGATCTGCAGCTAGGTTGGAACTATCTGCCTTTTTGGAACTATTGTGCACATGCTGATGAAGCCTCGTGGTGTTCGAAAACCTGGCGCTGGGGCAGCTGTCAACAAGAACAACACCACTGGATGTGTGAGAAGGAGCTGTACACCAGCTCTTACTGGTCTGAATAAGGCCAAAAAACCCCACATCTGCAATCAGTCTCTCTCTCTCACACAGACAAAAATATATAATGTGTACATACACATATGTTGTATGCATTGTAATTGTTCATTCTAATGACTTCTTTATTTTTATGCACCTCTTCTACATAATTCTACATAATTTCATGATTAGTTTTGTGTGCTTTCACTATGTTAAAACAATATCTAAATATTTTATTCTCTAAATGTTGATGTAAGGCCACATGTTTTTTTTCTTTAAATCTGTTTGATGGCAGTGCTTAAGTTGCTCTAATTATTTGCTCCTGACACTGCTGGAGGTTGTGACTGTCCCTGAGCGTGCACACTGAGGAAGGCATCGGCTGAAAGGTTTCTACATTACAAATGAATAAGGATACTTCATAGGACTATTTTATGTTCTGTGCAAGCCAGTTTACCTTCATTTAAACAACTGTTTTAACAGACAATATTTACTTTGTGTTTCACAGTGTGGCTTTGATATAGTAATTAAAGCTGGTATAGGCAATTTATGTCAGAAGCTTTTGTTGTTATATTTGTTTAAATTCTCTTTACATTTAATAAATCAAATGCTCTTAACTCCCATATCTGTCTGTTGCAATATTGTATTTTATGAGGTGCCCCTAGGGACATTATTCAGAATTACCATGCATATACATGCATACTTTTCCTCTCACATATACATATGAAACCTCATTCACATACTATACTGAAAAGCTCACACACATACAAGTAAAATGCTTTTACACACACAACTGAAACGCTCTCACACACACAACTGAAACACTCTCACACACACAACTGAAACACTCTCACACACACAACTGAAACACTCTCACACACACAACTGAAACGCTTTCACATACACAACTGAAACGCTCTCACACACACAACTGAAACGCTCTCACACACACAACTGAAACGCTCTCACACACACAACTGAAACGCTTTCACATACACAACTGAAATGCTCTCACACACACAACTGAAACGCTCTCACACACTTAAGTAAAATGTATGTTGTATAAAAGCATTTCAGTACGTTGTATGAGAGGATTTCAGTTGAACAGGAAGTTGTTTAAATAAAAGCACACATCTCACAATACAAGCTAACAACTGTTGATCGTACAACGGCATTATGTTTATTGCTTCTGACAAGCATCGGCGCATAGTTCGCTTTAGCCCTCTGTTAGTTATCAAATGCCAGCACACCAGCGCTGGGAGGCGCCATAGGGAGGCGCAGTCTGACCAGACAGACTCCTGGCAGAGCTAGAGAAGGAGAAATTCTTTAAGAGACAAATGTGACATTCACTAAGAAGTTACATAAAAAAAGAATTATCTGTACACTGAATAGTTTTGAAGCTCTATAGATGATGTCATTTATTGTGACCTTTGAGTAGGTCTTGTGGATATTACATGTTTATTGGCTTACTGTATAGTGCGTAGTGAGGCAAAAGGGTGAAAAACATTAACTGATAGAAAGCGCATATTTGCTACAAGTGCATTCGATCAGCTGATTGTTTATTTTTGCTCTGTGTGGGCTACTTGCTTGAGAATACCTCAGAGTTTGCAACATTGCAATTAATGATACATCTAGTGGGGTTCATAATTTCTCAGTCAGGTCATTCTTTATTTAAGCACTTTACCCAGTTTTGTTTGGATTTGTGCTCATTCTCTTGTCTTTAAACTAGACTTACTGTATATCAGAGCGGCAAACAAGGCACTCTTCAAAACCTTCTCTGGCTCTAGTTGCTGAGTGTAAGGCTCCTATGTTATCTTCAAGTATAAGGTACAATGTTAAAAAACTGCATAACTATTTTGTCTTCTGACCTTTTCTGACCAAGGTCAGAAGACAAAACAGTATTTTCACTTTTCAACTTATACTAGACTGCTCTCCCTTAGCAAAAGAGTTGAGCTTTAATATTCAATGTTTTATCTGTGTTGCATGATGAGCTGGTTCTTTCAATTGACAATCAGAATGTAAAATGAACATTTTCAATCAGTAGTAAAGACAAAATAAGTCTAAAGTATAAATATATTTAGAATTTATTGCAAAGGGAACCATAAACCATTTTTTTAATGGACATAAAACACAGATGTTTAAAACCACAGTGGACAATGTGGTGGGAAAAGTTTGTTTGAATAAACAGCTCAGGCAAACACTTGTCTTTCTGTGAATTTTATTCAAGTTTTCTGCAGATGGAACACACGGGGACACATACACATCAGAGAGTATCATCTGAGTGAACTGCAGTGTAACAGCTCATGCAGCTTTTATCTTAGTTTCAGGGTCGGAGTACTATATCAGAGGAACATGGTGTCTTTCAGTGTTCCCTAGGGGATCTATAGAAAGACACCCATGTCCCAGGTACATGTGGTGAACCCTTTAATGTCCTGACCCCTCTGGACATTTGTTAAAGCATCACACACATTTACCTTCCATTGACCCCATACCCAAGAGACTGGAGGCCCCTAGTGAGATTAGTTACATGGGAGCGTTTTAAAGATGGTTATCATTGAAATTTCCATTACAACAGTGCCTGAATATATTAATATCAATATTTCCACTTTCAAATTGGAAGATTTAAATCAGTCTTCAACAACCTATTACACTGAAGGTTATCATAAACCTCATCATGACATATCTGCGGATACATATCCCACAGATTCTGAACTTTTAAATATAATGTATTATTGATTGATATCGCCATACTCTTGTAATAAATATGATAAGAAACATTCATTAAGGAGTTTAATTTTTTATGCTTCAAACACAGCAAATGAAATTCATTCTTACTACAGGGTAGTGTGGTTTTAGCACCAGATAGATCACACATTGATGGTCTTTAATATAATATAAAATATAATATACTGTTTTCTCATTTAGTACTTATTTATAGCCACCTTAAAATCCTGTCTCTCTTATATCATTGTCTTCCACTTCACCATCATCAATATTACTGTCGGGTGACAAAAATATTGTCAGGGTGCTATGACCTCTGATTATTATTATTATTATTTCTGATTATTGTGACATCTGAGTAAAGTAATTCTGTGTGCTTATATTATCCATATTATGATGTATTAGTTTAAAAAAACTAAAACTGAACACTAGATGGAGCCCATTGCAGATCATAATGAGTACAGGCGAAAACAATCCTGTCTGAATTTGCTGAACCAGTAAAGCAGAGCTCGTTCAAATGTTGCTCTCAGTGTGATTTTAGTTGCTCTGGATAGGTTGCTCTTCAACCTAAAAATGAATAAAATGTCGATGTGAATGTACTGAACACTTTTGTATCCTGAGTACCTTTTCCTGAGCTTTCCCTGATAAGAACAGCACGTCCTAGTTCCTTATCCTGCCGTCAGGAAGTAGAGAGGAAGTCAAAGAGACAGGGACAAAGAGGTCAGCTGCCCAGCCTTGCATCAAGGTCGTCCTCATGTACCTCTGCCTCCATGCTGTTATGTAACCATCCTGAGCAGTACACACACTCGTAATGTACCATCTATAGTACACACTGCAGCCCATCTCATCTCCCCCCAATTACAAACATTTGTTTCTGTTAGTGACCACAGTGTTCGCTAAGCTTAAAGCATAAGGCTTGTTATTGACAAATCCCCTGAAAAGAACAAATCCAACTATGTTAGTCTGTCTCAATACATTCTGACTTCCTGCCCGTAGCATTCAGCCCCAACCCCTTTGATTCCTAATGAAGACAAAAAAAGACTCACATTCCTAAAACTCTCGTCACAGCTCGTCACTGTCACTTTTTATCAAAAGTTATTCAAACTGCACGAGATAATGCACTTGTTGGGGACTACTTTCAGCGGCGGATTAATCCACATTTGGTGCACTAGTGAGTATACTGGGCAGCGGGGCTGTGTATGTTGGACTGAGTCAAAATAAACTACTATACTACTACTTCTAGATCAGACAACAGACCTCTGCCTGAGGATCTCAAGGTACGTGCTGGTGCGTATGGGACTAAAAGGTCAGAGATATAACAGGGCGAGAGGCCATGAATAGATGAAAGATATGTAGGGCTCTGGTTAAACAGTTTAATAAAGATAAAATAGATAAGTATTGTACTGTAAGTAACTATTGAAAAACAGAAAGGGTTCATCCTCAGGAATTTTCATGGCAATCTGCACTTTATGTTTTGGCATTTTTTTGTAAGTGGGCATTTTGACCTCATGGTCACATCAGAGGAATGCTCAGTAAGTCATTAACAGGAGTCATCCTCTGGGCATCAAGACCATCCACAGCAAATGAATGGAAATCTGTCCAGTGGTTGTTAAGTCATTTTGCTAAAATTACCACTGTTGGACAGACAGATGAACAGACAAATTTTAGCTTGCCATAACTCAGTTCATCATTTTTACTGAATATTATTAATATTTACACCAAAACCAAAAGAGAGAAATATTAATATTTGTCATTTTAACTGAATTATAATCTCATACTCTCAATATGATATGGAATTCTTAAACAACCAAAGTTAAGTACTGAGTATCTAGAAAGATAAAGTCAGCCTTCTGTGTATAACCAGATGCTTAGGGTTAAATTCTCAGCATCTTTCCTCCTTTACTATCAAATTTTGCACCTCTCTACTATCCAGGCATTTAGCTGACACTCTTATCCAGAGCCACTTAACAACGAGTGCCTCAGCAGAGAAAGCTTAAATTAATTTAAACAGATACAATCTGCTTCTCTGCTGTGAATACAACTACTGTCTGACAAGTACGTACAACACACAACACATTGTTCACAGTCCACATTGAGTTACATTCACAGTTTATCCATTCAGCTGTCACTCTTATCCAGAGTTACTCACAACGAGGACAAGAGCAAGGGTAAGTTTAATTTCTTAGATCACTAACTTTACAAGGCAGACATCAGTGTGAGGAGACAAATCAAAGTGAGCGTCAGGTACAGAGGCAGCCTTTTCTCAGAAATGGAAAGTGCATCCTTTATCAGGACAAAACCTCCATGTTTTTGGTTGATATCAGGAATCAGCTGACAACGTCCTGTCCTGGCAAGTCCACACGAGGGCTGGAATATTTCAAATATTTGGAAAATTGCATCTATGTGTCTTATTCAAGATAAGATTTTTGAGGTTGATATTGATATTTGAAAATTTTAAATACTTGATACGGATGTATTGTTGCAGCTGTTTAAATTGGGGCTAATTGGGGCTAATTGGGGCTAACTCCTTCATATGCTGTTGTTAGCTTAATCTATAATCCTTAATCTATAATCCTTAATCCTAATAGTTGATTGAGATTTTGAATTAATAATTTGAATGTGCAAAGTAACCATAATAAACTAGTACTAAAACATTTACAATATTTCCCTGTCGTGGAGTTTAAGCATAAAGCATAACATGAACATACTTATGTAAAGTACCTCAAAAAGAGCAACCATTTAGTGCAATCTATAGCTGACCGTACCTTTATTCAAATCAAAAATATATAAAGCTTCACTTAATGTGTAACTAAGTATTTTTCCTGCAAAGGTCTACCAGACAGTGTGCCTTTAGTGTGTCTGCAAGTCGTCATTATGTTCCCAGTGACCTATACCCCAAATATATATCCCGTACATCAATGCCAATTTAACTTTCTCAAGAAAAATCCCCCTGTCTGGAGTTAGCAGTACATCATGCTGACAGTAAACTAATAGCCACTGACACACACATACACTCCAAGCCAGGTTTGTGGCCATGGTGCAAGACACTATAGTCTCTTTCTTCTTCTTTTTTAAAAGGTTTGACATATCCTGTTATTCAGACAAATCACCAGCAGCCCAAAGAGACACAAAACATGCTGATGTGACTCTGGATCTGTTTCAGCAGGAATGCTGGTTGCGGACGTGCAGGGAGTGGTGTAAGTAGGTGACAAAAAATGTGACGTGTCAGCGTATCTGCTACTTGACCTTTGTCATAAGAGTTGTTATATTTGAAATATAATCTAAAATTAGTCTAAAAATTAAAAAAAAAATCTCATTAAATACGCAACATGAGTGTGTATTTCATAGTGGAATTTAAACATGTTTGGAGACCTTTAGACTGATTATTAGATAAATCCATGTAACATACATATTTATTTAAATTTTACCTGATTAGTCGGAGTAATATTTCACTCCATAACCAGCATACCTTTTTGGCCAGCATCTTGTAGCAAGAGACCAGCATAATTCAGTCGAAATTCAAACACATGGCTCTTCTGGAACTATATCTTCAGTGTGTGTGGCTAAAATTTGGAACAGCATACCAAATGGATTTAGTATTTTAGTAAATAAGTACAATTTGTCTTATGAGTAATGCTGCATCTATTGTAAACTGCAGCTTGGGATGTAGAAAGCACCAATATCTTGAGGCAACTTTCCTGTTTCCTCATGAAAGGCAGATGATGGTGAATATCTTTAATATTCCATTCCTTCCTGAAATAGGCATCTTCATTTTGATCCTCATGCATTTTTGGGGGAAAGCAGTAGAAAACACTGATGGCAAGTCTGCCTGGAAGTCACTTGAGGTTTTTTCTTTTTTTCCTCGGCTGATTCTCTCTTGCTTCCTAGTGCCTCAGTATCTAAATGGTTTCAGTCTGAGTTGCTCCTGGAGGTAAGCAGGCACACGGTGTTGGTTATGCAAGCTCTGTAATGTCACCCCAGGCCTCTGTCTTTCAATATCTGTGCTTTCAGTACATTCTACTCTGGTGAGCAGGAGGAATGAAAACAAAAAATGTAATGCTTGATGCCAGTGTGTCAAGAGAACGTGTGAGTCTACCTCTGCAGAAAGCCTTTGTCCTTCTACATATCTGAAATATTTTGAGAGTGATATGAATGTTTTGTGTTCCATTTTACAGCAGATAAAAGGCCATCCTGAGGGCTCCGGTATATTTAGTTTGAAGATGAATTTAGTGAGTTATCAAAGATGCAGGTTGTAAATTCCAGTTTACACGCTATTGCTGGAGGTCTGTCAACATCGGAAGTTTAGTATCCACTTATGCAGAACCTAACAGTTGCACGATAGCATGATTGCAGGTTAGATGTCAACAATTTTCTTGAGAAAAAAATTATCATAAATCAGTTTTATAGTATAAAAACAGGAGTTGGGTTTACAAGCCTGTCAACTGCCTGGGGAAAACAGCAAGGTTCATTGGGAGCCTTCAGTTCAGACAAAGAGCCAACTTGTACATCTATGAATAGACAAGCTTTTGTTAAACTACTAATTATTCTCAGAAGCTCTATTAACAACATTTACTACTGCCTAAATTGGTGTTTGTGAACACAAACTTTGTTTCGATGAAAATAACACCACACATAAAATAATCAAGTATTTGATCCATTTGGCAATTTCCTAGAACAGAAAATGTTGAGGAATTTATCATATTACATGTCACAGTACATGTTGACACACATACACAGGACAACATGACATCACATTCAGTCCAAGAGCAGGACCTGTCACACAGTAGTGGCGAGATTGTTACAATCTTCAGTCATGGTATATGTTATATTTGAGTGAGAGAGCATTATCAGGATATAGAAAAGTGGAACACTCAGTTCAGATAAATCCAAATACTTCATCACTCACTTGTCGTCAAGTGCTTATCATGTCTACAGGGTAGCAGGGAGGGGGCTGGAGCCGATCCCAGCTGAAATCTGGTAACAGCCACGCAGACACAGGGACCCACTACCTTCTTGCTATGAGGCAACTGCACCACAGTGCCGCTTCAAGTACTTCATCGCATTGATGCAAATATCCTGCAAATACAACATTGTAACAGTATCCAACAGTATATAAAAGACAACAAGAGCTTGGCATTGGAATTACAACAAATCAGCATGAACAACATATGAGCAAACACATTTTAAAAATAACAATCACAAAATAAATGCAAAATAAATCTAAGGTTTAGAAAAAAACACATTGGGAGTTAACACTTTACTGAAAATAAATGTATTCATAAAAATGTAATAATTGACAATGCACTGAAAATATGTGCATATATTAATGCACATGTGAAGTGAAAAGACGCACATCTATTAATACAGTGGTTCCCAACCTTTTTGGTGTAAGGTACCCCATAGCCTTGTCAAGTGAACTTGCGTACCCCTTCATCAATCACACCTATAATGTACCAAATGTATGACACCACTGATCATGTTGTTTTTTAAAAAAAAATTTTTTTATACAATTGAAGTGTCAGGATAAAGGTTCGTTTGGTCACCTACACTAGGCTACTGCCATAGAAGCTGATGTTTCAACCAAGATAACCATTAGTTTTGGCTAATCATTTGTAGGGCTGCAACTAATGATTATTTTCAATGTTGATTAATGTCGATCAGTGGTTTGGTCTGTAAAATGTCAGAAAATGGTGAAAGACGTCAATCCTTGTTTTCCAAAGCCCACAATGACGTCCTCACATGTCTTGTTTTGTCCACATAATTCAGCCCAAAGATATTAGGGAGTTTGCTCTCCTAGAGGAGAAAAGAAACCACAAAATATTTACATTAAAGAAGCTAAAATTCACTCAAACCAATTATCATAATAGTTGGCTATTAATTTACTGTAAAAGTTGACAACTAATCAACTAGTTCATCAATTAAATTTTAGCAATTTAGTACAACCATTACCTTTAACTACCTGTTTAGACTTATATTGCTCACTAAATAGTTTTCACTCACTCTTACATAATTGCAACAGGTACAGTGGTGTTCAGATGTTACAGCTGCCTTAATATGTGGATATAGTCTTTTAATAAATTAATAAATTATATTTTTTCTTATTGGTTGGGCTTATTTGCAATCTTCCTGTACCCCCTGACAACTGCAGAAGTACCGCCTGGGGTACAAGTACCCCTGGTTGGGAATCAATGTATCAACAGATGTAGCAGTATAGATTTTAAATAGAAGTGTAAGACCCATTCATTAAGAGCAGCCTGCTCACTGATTCTTCCCATCCCGGGAGCAACCAGAGATGTTAAAAAAGACTTACATGTCATTTAAATACTGGATTAAATCCCCCAACTCTTATGTCTCACACAGTATGTAACACACAGTCTATGGTTTCATCCCTGTTACCATAGTGTCCTTACCACATTCCTGCCTCAAACACTTTACACGTTGGGCTGTGATTGGCTATAAAACCACACTTGATTAATGGCTAACATGGCTAAAAATATCATCAGGAAGGGACGTATGGTTACATTTAGAATTTTTTTTTCCTTTTTTTTTACATCAATAAGTATATATATATACATATAAGTATATATTATGAATCTTTCTTTTTCTGCTTCACCGCTATGAGGCACTAATTACCCCTCATACACTCTACAGCCTCACAGAAGGGGGCGTTCCCGGTCTGAAGCAGAGCTCAGGACATTTCAGCACCGAGCTCAGTGTGGAGGGAGAGCTGAGTGAGGAGGGACGTTGCTGCTCGGCCCAAGTGGATACAAGCCAAGATGTTCTTCCTTCTCGAAAAACCCTCCTTCTAAAACGGTTCTTTTTTCAAGCTGGGAACATAAGTAAGGCTCGTGAATCTACCGCGAGGTGACCAGCCGAGACAGATGAGTCCGTGGTCTCTCTGAGTCCTGTGGTAACCTCTGCCTTTGTTCGTGACATCTGTCCTTCACCTCCAGGATGGATCATTTAGAGAAGGAGCACAGGTCGGACGAGGAGGCTGAATATGAAGAGGAGGAGGTGGACCCCAGAATCCAGGTAACTAATGTTTACAGCCATTGTATTGATTAGTGGTTTTTGATCATCGACACTGTATTCCGTCCATTGTAGTCCAGCCAACAGCCTGTGTCCACACTACACAAAGTCCTATCTGAATTTTCTGAATGATATGAATGTTTCCTGTTTTAGATGATGCAAATGTCAACCCAGTCCTCCATGCTGATGTCATTCAGAAGAAGAGGGTGAATTATGAGCTAAGAGCTCCAGTTTGGTCATTAATAGCAGTAAACAATCATTTAACATTAATGCAGTATTACAGATGAGCTGTAATCTGTGATTGAGATTTTCAAAGAAAAGGTACTGTCTTCTCACAAGAGAAAGTATGAACAATGATTGATTCTCAAGCATAAACAGGACGAAGAAGACAGAATAAGTGATATAATGGACCAGGCAGATAGACCTACAGATGAAAGTGAGTGTAGACTGTAAAAAGGACTTGTGATCAAAGGTTTGAGAAATCATTTAAATACTAAAGACTCTCTCAGTTTCATTGATTTATCTGCCTAATTATTTCTGGTATATAATCAGTTGAGTGTTTTTGCTTAAAAAATGAGATGACTAATCAGTTGTCAAAACAGTTGATGATTAACTTTCTGTCCCTAGACTTCATTGATTAATCGACTAATTGTTTCATCTTAAAAATACAGATAGTAGGGCTGCAACTAAGGGTTATTTTTATTATTGATTATTCCTCTATTTACCTACAAATTGTCTGAGAAGATTCACAAATGGGCAAGCTAAAGGTAACCTCCTATACATTTCCTGACCAACCCACCAAAACGTTCAACAAATTCTGTTTCCTATCAACTCAAACAAGCGACAGCAGCAAACAAACAACTGAGAATCTGGAACAAGTGAACGTTTTGGTATTTTTACTTGAAAAATGACCTTTTTATTAAATGATAATCGTAGCAGGTCCTGGTGACCTCGTGGGGGTCCCGACCACACTGACTTAGCCAATTCATGATTCAGGTTTTAAAAAGTGGTCAAAATAATGACCAGACGATACTGACTTTATTAAGCAGATTGGGTAATGGCCAGATGAGACAAATCCACAGTTAAATACACTTCATTGTCGTCATTACAATTCAGACTTAGCATTTAGTGCTGCAGCTTCATGTTACCTTTCATAAAAACGCAGTGTGGTTTATAGATTTTAAAGTTGGGGGGGGGGGGGCGCTGGTATCAGATTCGAAATCGCTATCTGCAAAAACCCTGAGTTGAGGTATCTGTATCAGGAGGGAAAATGTCAGATCAGTTCATCCTAAAAAAGATGAATTGGTTAACAAAGTTGTCATCTATTAAATTCCTCTGATTTAATTAGATTTCTTTCTCTGTTGCTTGATCTCACTGTTGTTCCCTCGCTTCCAGGGGGAGCTGGAGAAACTCAACCAGTCCACAGACGACATCAACAGATGTGAGACGGAGCTGGAGGTCAGTCTGCACACAAACACAGAGCCATGTGCACTGAATGTGTATGCAGGTTATCTGTATGCTCGAGCAGTGCGTCCCTTTGTACCCGTTTGACTGATAGAGCATGTAATCGTGCACAAGTAACCTCTGTCAGCAGATCAGACTTCACATCTTGTGTTCACCTGCGCTCGGTCAAGTGCTGACTGACAGCCGGTGAAATCAAGCTGTCAGTTTACCTCTTCAGAAAAGTGTTGTTTTGAAGGTATCAATGAGTGCACATACAGCAGGACCTTTGCTCCGTCTCCAGGCCAAACTGTTTTCATTTGGCTCTGAGTCAGCAGGTTTAAATATACAAGGAATTGTTCTGTATCTAGTTTTGTGAGAAACACTGATTTAATTTTGTTACAATAATCCAATTTTACTTACAGCTCTATTCAGAGCAGTTTGTGGTGATCAAGCAGGCAGATTTAAGAGTCTCGCTAAATGACTTTTTCAAGGTTGTTTTACACAACTGATCTTTGAATCCCATTAAAACCCAGTAAAGGATGTAGATCAGCAGTATGTCGCTTTATAGAGGTGAAAGTCCAAAGTCTTGTCTTGCTCCACAGTTTGAGAATTGTACATGGTGTTAATCAGGCAGCTGAGAGGTTGTTAACCAGAGTTCATTGAGTTAATTGGTTTTCCTGTGCAGGGTTTTTCTCTGAATGACGCAGCTATTATTTGGTGAGAAAGTGTTTAAATCATTAACAGCAAGGATTGTAGTTGACCAGAGTCACATTTTTTTTCGTTATCTGGCTCCATCATGAAGGTTCCCCAAGAATCTGCTCTAATTGTACTTTCATATGTAACATCTTGGCAAGAAACAAACATGATGAGAGTTTGAGTTTGATAGCATCGCCTCAGAGATTCAGCTTATATCTGTAACACATTTTGTTGGCTGAGAAAGTAGAAATGGTTAATTTAATGTTGACAGTCTGCGGCTACGTCCCGGAGAAGAGCAGCAGAAGAGATGAATGTTGATTGAATGTAAGAGTGCAGCTAACATTTATTGCCATTGTCGATTATTCTGCCAGTTATTTTCTCAATGAATTCTTAGTCTTGAAAATGTTAAAACGATTGACCGTTGTTATTTGAAGAGCTATGGGAAATGGGATGTGAAAGCAAATAAAAAAGAATGCTGTTCTTAGGCACATTTTATTTGTGATAACCGCTCTTCAAGGTGGATTATCTTTCCTTATCCATGACTGCTTTCCTGTGTTTTTCTCTTAAAATATTGATTTAGAAACCGCTGACTACCAGTCATGAGTATTAATTTCAAATAGTGCTTGACCTGCTATGTCTTTTTTTTGCAGCTATCTGAAAATAACCCTCCTGCAAATCAAAATAGAGTGTTCTTTGAGGTCATTGGATAAATATTAAACACTTGACATACAGAGTCAGTGGTTTGGATCAGGGCCCTTGGATTGTATACAGAGCCTCCTTCATCTTTATTCAGTAGTTGTGGTTTTGTCATCTGTTGGGTCAGTTGAACCTATTTGCATCTCTCCTGTAGATACCATGTGCCTGATGTTGAGTTCAACACTGTGTCTATTGATAAACCCTGACTGATTTACATTTCTGCCCACTTCTTATGGTTCCACGGACTACAAAATTAAGTGAAGTTGTTTTCATGTCTGACAAAGACATCTACTGTCAGAAGGGGGAAAAACACTCAAACGGTCACGACACAGTTGGAAATCACCCAGTGCATCTTTTAGGATATGGAAAGATAATAATCTCCCCAGAGAAATTGAATTGACGTCAAACACCGCAACACCAAGAAGGAATTGCATTTCTTTTTTTAGAGCTGAAATTAAACTAGTCTCAACTTTCTTAAATGGGAACATTTTCTGTAATGTGGATTTTTTTTCACTATTTGCTACACAAATTGATTAATTGAATTATCAATAATGAAAATAATCAGTGGTTGCACCTAGTGCCAGTGTCCTAGTCTAGTTTTCCATGATGGCTAACTGAAAACCTTCAGTTTATGGACTGTCGTTGGATAAAATAAGCAATTTGAAAAAGTCACTTTGGGCGCTGGGAAACGGCATTGTTCACTATTTTGACATGTTATAGACTGACTAATTGATAATGAAAGCTAGTTGCAGCCCTAGCTTCCTCAGCCATTAGAGGGAGGTCAGAGATTTTAGTGTCAAGGACACTGAACGAGGACAGATGCTTGGTATCAGTGGATCTTGAACCTGGATGTCCCTGTTGACTCATCATTTGCTCATCAGCTCCACATAAACATCCAAAGTGCTAAATCCTTTGGTGATTCCCTGCCAGGATTAATATCGTCTTTCCAAATTTCCCATTTTCACTTCCACTGATCATCCTATCATTTGACCTAAAGAGGTGTTTGAACTGAAGCGGTCCTGCTGCTGATGAGAGGAATAGAGAGAGTGACTGGAGTAATAATGAGCCGAGTGTCGTGGGGTCTTCAGTGATGTGAAGAAGCTGATTCTCTGTCACAGCAGTGAAGCAAATGCTATTTAATTTAGCGGATACCCACAAGTTCTAGATATATCGCCTCAGGGCGCTAACATGTTGACAAGGTGAAGTGCGTCACAGTGTGAGTGTCCGAGGCCTGAGTGGGAGGAGAGAGACTCTGCACTGCAGTCTGCATCAACATCAGTATAATCACAGAGACACTGAGATCCAGAGGTGACGACACAAGCACAAAGAAATATGTTCATGGCTATGTTGAAATTCATTATGATATGCTTTTGTTCTCATAATTATTTTTTGCTATTTACAGTGCAGCCCCGAAGTATTTGGCCAGGTTTGAAATTAAACAATGACGATGAGGTTAAAGTTGCTGACTTTCAGCTTAGATTTGAGGGCGTTTACATCCACATTTGACAAACTGTGTGGAAACTGTGGACAGTCAAAGGGTAAAAAGGGTCATGATTCCTTCCTTCCCTTGAAGCTGAGAGTCAGCACTTTAACCCCCATAGTCATAGTTTCATTTGGCACACAGTGTGTGCAGCGTGTACATCGGTGAAAGCAAACCGTACAGTAATGTTAGTTTCGGCTGTCTGTGTAGATCTTACACCTCAGACTGCTGCAGCCCCTCACAGCCTTTAGACCTTCTGGGTAGTCTAACCACAATGATGATGTTCTGTTTGATGCAGTGCTGCCATAAAGACCTCCTGTCTTTAACACATTGTATTCATATATTGAACTACAAGCAAAACTGAAGAGCTGAGAAGTGTTTTAAATAAAAGGACCTGGATATTGTAAGGATGCTGCGGTTTTTGCTATGTCCTAGAAAACTCATGACTGGTGGTAAAAAATGGAGATGGGGAAAATGCATTTTTACAAATGCATCTTTGTAAGCAAGACCGAGGAACAAGTCCAATCGAAGCTCTGATGTACCTGATGGTGAAATCCAGCTGTCTTTCTTTGTGTTTTGTTTTTCAAGTTGCAGCCCGTTGTTACCTTGATGAAACACTAATATAGTTTTCCAGTAAGTGGTTTTGGCAGAGGTCTTAAGTTAGATAAATAATAAGGTTGAGTTTCCTTCTGGGACTTTGACATCAAGTGTCATGAGTTTCCATTTTTAGCATGTCTTCAAAGTTCAACAAATTAAATTTGAAACATTGTTTTTTGCAGTTGAAATTCAATTCAGCCTTTGATCCAATCCAAAGGGGATTAACCAATACCTGACAATGCTAACGTTTGGTGTACAAGTCACAGTAATTTGACCGTGACCCGGTGGACTTCACTAAGCCCCCTTATTACTGTTGCTGCACCTGTCATGCTTTCTATTCTAGCACTGCACATGTACAGTTTACACTATAATGATGGCAGATTTACCACTCAAAATCTGTGGTCATTTTTAAAGCAATTTGATTAAGCTACGTATGTAACATTGTGCTAATTTAGTGCTTTGTCACAAGGCAAAAAACTGAGGCTAAAGCTTACAGGCTATTTTGATTTAACATAAGACCTTTCCGATGTTTACAATAGAAACCTTAGGTAAGCGTCCCCAGATTTAAAGAGCAGGATAGCTACTAACATTAGCCTTAACTCTGTGACATGTCTCTAACATCTGGGACATCGTATGGAACTATTTAAATGATTTTTAATCCATTTGTTGCTATTTCTTCTTGTGT